CACACACACACACACACACACACACACACACACACACACACACACACACACACACACAAACAAAAAAACGAACTTCCCCCCTTTTTTTTTTTGGAGGCCCGCGCGGCCTCAAATTTTTGTTAATTTTTTTTTGTGGCTTATGACACGACATCCCACTTGGGTCTAAAACACCCCTCCCCAACTTTTTTTTTTTCTCTCGACCCCTTATTTTCGGGGTGCGCCGCACCCCGTGCGCTGTGTGTGTGCGCTGTGCGTGTGCGCCGCACCCCGTTTGCGCTGTGCGTGTGCGCTGTGCGCAGTGCGGCGCGTGTGCGCGGTGCAGCGCACATCGATGCGCCACAAGTACGATATATATATATATATATATATGATGAGTCGGTGAAACTCCGATGAAACAGTTTGTCACAGCCCCTCGTTTGTTGTCCTCTTCTCTCTCTCTGCCTACGGTTTACCGGGCAGTTCTATTTGTGACGATTCTGTTTGTGACGATATATATATATACTGCTCAGATGCTCAGTCTCTTCCTAAGAAGGGGTCGTGGTTTCAGAAATGCTATATAACAAAAGTTTTTCATAAAACTCAGGAGGTGAACTTACGAAATGAAAGTTACTTGATTCTAATCATATGAAGCAGGTCATCTGGTTGAGATTGAATTGCTTCTTCACTAATTAAAAAATAAAAAATAAAAGATAAAACATAAAAAATTAAAAAATTAAAAAAAGAAGAAATTGCTGATTGAACTAGGTGTGCTTTGGACAAACGAGGAGTGTGGACATGAGAGCATACGGTTGCTCATTTGCTTCTGCTCAATGGTCACTTCGTTCTTTATTACATTCCAGCTACCCCAAGTACCAACCGATCTTCGCATCATGTTATTCTGGCGACTATTTCAGTGGTATTGGCCATGGCTGGGGGTGTGTAAGTATGAGCGATAATGCTTGCAACTCATGTGCTACTATTTCGATGTGCTATATTATGCTGGCATACTGAGTATTTGCTTGCAAAGCGCATATTATTATACTGATGCTTCCAAGGTACAACTGAATCGTCATTCGTGACTGCGTATTTCAGACGCTTAGTGCGCTTTTTAGCAGATTTCAGAAAGAAAAAAAATGAAAAAATGGAAAAAGGAAGAAGAATAAGATTGAACCTTAAAAAGAAGAAGAAGAAGAAGAAGAAGAAGAAGAAGAAGGAGAGGGAGAGAGCCGCGAAATGCAAAACAAGAAGAGATCAACAATGACATGCGGAGTGAGGACGAGGCACTCAGTCGCGTTCCAGGATTTCTTATTATTTCTTCTCATCGATTGCCGCGTGTCGCTCCTTCCCTTAGCACTTGTT